TATCTAAATAAAACATAAAAATAGCTGGGCATGAGGCTCAGCAGTTAAGCACCCCCTTGGTTCTATCCGCTTACTGAAAGAAAGTAAGTCAATAGATGTGGCCAGCAGCAATGTTGTCATGAGGTTCCAATGGTGATTTTCTACTCCCTGCCTTTCTTCTACATGGGTTTACTATAGAAGACTTGTACAGAAGATTTGTGTTTTTTTCTCTTTTGTTAATTTATTTATTCAGTTTGTTGGATATAGAATTGAACTCCAGAAAGATTAAAGGTCAAAAGAAGAAAAATGAGAATACAATGCCAATCTGTGAATCCAGAAAACATTATAAACACACCAAAATACAAGTTTAATCAACAACCAAGTGTTACTAGAGACATTAATGGGCATAGTACAATGTATTTGAGGCATACTTTAGTGTTTTGAAACTAAAAGATAATAAATCAATCTAAAAAAGATAATAAGCCAATATCTAGAATTGCTAAACATTCTTAGACAGGAACTATAAAAACCACAATAATGACAGCAGAGGTAAGAGGTTGCCATTTAAAAAATCCACAAAGGATGCCAGAAAAGGACAAGGAAATCTAAAGATATGCTTAATTTTCTAGTAACCACCTTGGGCCAGTAACTCTGGCAGGCGGGGAGCCAGGCTGCAGATGTGCAGCGGCGGCGGCGGGAGGCCAAGTCCCGCTCCCTACTCCCGCTCCCCGCAGCAGGGGTAGGCTGTGGCATCTCCTTGGGGCCTGCCGCCCAGGCGCTCTGAAGTGAGTGAGCGGCGGGAAGTGTCCAGCGGTCCGCGCCAGCATCCGTCTGCTCTGCCTGCCAGGGACACTTGAGAGGCGGGGACTCGCGGTGGCGGAGCCCTCCAGGGCCGTGACCTTGGCGAGCCACTTCCCTGGAGCCCAGGTGTCTTCGCAGTGCCAGCCGGGCCAAGGGGACCTTGTGGCACCCAACTGCTCCAAGCCACGCCGGCTGCGGTCTTGGAGCGTGTTGCTGGCGGGAAGTTCCTGGTGGCCTTTGGCTCCTCCAAGCTCTGTGCTCCTGTGCCTATCTGTGTCCCTCTGCTATCCGTGACAGGTACAGGAGCTGGGCGCTCCTTCTCCTTGCCTAAGTCTGGGGGTAGGGGGCGGGCAGAACATTTCCACTGCTGGTCCAAGGACACGGGATTTGGAAATCCTGGAGAATTACCTTTGTAAGAAGCTGGGAATAATTTCTTTAAATTTTAAATTTCATCTCTTAGTTTTCCATTTTGTTGCATTTCGGAGGCAAATGGAGAATCCGTGAACGGCTTTACTAATGAAGAGTTCCACTGCCACTTCCTTGAGGAAGGCTTTACTGTCAAGGACATTCTGAACCACAAAATTAATGAGTGTCTTCTTCTGATGATAAGGGTGCCTTTTATGTTGCAGACCTTGGAGACATTCTAAAGAAATATCTACGATGGTTAAAAGCTCTTCCTCATGCCACCCCCTTTCATGCAGTCAAATGCAATGATAACAGAGCCATAGGGAAGATCTTACCTGCCATTGGGACAGGATTTGACTGTACTAGAAAGACTGCACAGTGAGAATTACCTATGCAAATCCTTGTAAACAATCTTCTCAAATTAAATGTGCTGCCAGTATTGAGCCCAAATGATGACTTTTGACTGAGAAGTTGAGTTGATGAAAGTAGCCAGGGTGCATCTAAAGGCAAAGTTGGTTTGCAGATCAGCTCTGATGATTCCAAAGCAGTCTGTCACCTCAGTGTTAAATTTGGTGCCACACTCCAAAACCAGCAGACTTCTTTTGGAACTAGCTAAAGAATTAAATATTGATGTCATTGGTGTCAGCTTTCACGTGAGGAGTGGGTGCACTGATCCTGAGATCTTAGTTCAGGCCATCTCTGATGCCCACTGTGTCTTTGACATGGGAGCTGAGGTTGGTTTTAGTGTGTATATGCTTGATATTGGTAGAGGCTTTCCTGGATGTGAGGATGTGAAGCTTAAGTTTGAAGAGATTTCCAGTGTGATCATCCGAGCACTGGACAAATACTTTCTGTTGGATTCTGGAGTGAGGAACATAGCTGAGCCAGGCAGTTATTATATTGCTTCAGCTTTCACTCTTGCAGATAATCTCATTGCCAAAAATCATGTTAAAGGAACAGATAGGCTCCGATGATGAATATGAGTCAAGTAAATACACCTTTAAGTATTATGTGAATGATGGAGTATTCACAGATCATTTAATTGCATCCTTTATGATTATGCACGTATAAAGCCCCTGCTGCAGAAGAGACCTAAACCAGATGAGAAGTATCATTAATCCAGTATAGGGGACTGACATGTGATAGCCTTCAATGGATTGTCCAGCACTGTGACCTGCCTGAAATGCATGTGGGCAATTAGATGTTTTCTTAAAACATGGGCTCATATACTGTTGCCACTGCTTCTACTTTCAATAGATTCGAGAGGCCAACAATCTATTATGTGATGTCAGGACCAACATGACAATGCATGCAGGACATCAGCACTCTGCCTGTGCCTTATGCTCAGGAAAACAGCATGAAATCTCATTTGGCAGCAGCAGCGTGTGCCTCCACTAGTAGCTATAAATGCCACTCTGTAGATGTTAACTGCAAGGTTAGTTTAAGTCAAGGGATCTGGGGGGACCATGTTACTTAATTACTGCTATATTTGAAATGTCTTTGTAAGTGCAGGTTTGGCACAGGTGCCAGAAACATGGAAGACTAGAAGGTGGGGTCACACTTATCTGTGTTCCTATGGAAACTATTTGGATATTTGTTTTATATGGATTTTTATTCATTTTTCAAACAAGCTATTAAATAGGGCCCTCTAAGCTGCCAGCAAGCTTTTATAGCTTGTACAATGGTAGAATGGGCAAAAGCTTAATGTTTTGACCTGTTTTGAACATATGTATCATCTAAGAAAGAAGTTTGGGGGTGTTCAAAGAAAATCCATGTATCCGTTTTTTTTTTTCCCTTAGACAACAAAATCAGAATCTCCAAATGTGTTGATATAATAAAAGAGCTTTAATCAACGTGATAATCAATATGTTCTCATGTTCTGGGTAAGTTTCCTCTAAGTCCTTTGTTAAGTCCTTTGTTATAGTTTGGATCTGGAATGTTCCCTTAAGGCTCATCTGTTGAATACTTGGTCCCCAACAAAGCAGTATTCAGAGAAAGTGGTTGGATAATGAAGGCTTTGACACCATTGGCTGATTATTCCACCAATAGATTCACAAATTGATGGCATTACTGGAATGAGTTGGAGACCATAGGGAGTAGGGTCTAGTTGGAGTAAGTGGGTCCATGGGAACATGCCTTGGAAGACTGTATCTTGTCCCCAGCAGCTTATTTGCCCTTTGCTTTCTGGCTTCCATAATGTGAGCAGTTTTCCTTGGTCACTCCGTCCACATTATGATATTCTGCCTCATCACAGGCTCAGAAACAATAAAGCCAAGTACCATGGATTAAAATTCTGAAATTATAAGACAAAATAAAACTTTTCTCCTGTTTGGGGGTGTTTTTATTAGTGCCTTATGGTTATACATAACAGTGAGGTTCATTGTGACATGTTCATAAATGCATGTAACATAGTTTGTTCTCCTTCAATCCACAGTACTTCCCCCTTCCCTTCCCTCCTTCCTCCTCCTGATCCCCTTCCTAGACTCTATTGGTCTTCTATTTATTTTTTTAATTTATGCATTAAAGTTATTTATAAAATTGTGATAGATGCATAGATGAACATATTATATTTGAGTCAACTTTATTCCCCAGCTCTTCCCCTTTCATCACTCCTCCAACCTCTACTCTACTGATCCCCTTTTATTTTTGTGAGATCATTAATTTTTTTTTCTTTCTAGCTTCCACATATGAGAGAAAACATTTGACCTTTGACTTTCTGAGTCTGATTTTTTTCTCTTAGCCTGACATTCTCCAGTTGCATTCATTTACCAGCATATGACAAAGCTTCATTTTTCTTTATGGATGAGTAAAACCTGTGTGTGTATGTGTGTAGTGGTGTGTGTGTGTGTGTGTGTGCGTGTGTGTGTGAGTGTACATATACCACATTTCTTTATCCAATCATTTTTTAACAGCCACCTAGGCTGGCCATGAGAGAACATCTTTCATCTGTAGGATAAGTATTTACACTCACTCCAATACACATCAGTCCAAGTGGGATTGTAGAACATTCATTCTTGAGCTATTTGGATCCTCCTGTGAGAGGGGCACCTAATGTAAGCCTCCTACTGGGCCCACCCTGCTTAGAGCCTGGGTCTGAATATGGAGTAGGAGTCCAGGGAACCTGGGAAGGAAGTGAGTCAGAGTGTCCTAGTACCAACATTCCCGCTTCTCTGTGCCCTCGGTTAACATTAACATTTTCTACTCCTTTCTAGGCAGGGATCCAGAGGTTTGCCTCCAAGAGTCAAAGACAACTGGGTACCATGAGGAAACACTGGAGAAAAAATGCTGAGGGAAGAGTAGAAATGGGAAGTTGGTCATGTGGAAACTGAGTTCTTAAAGAGAGAAGATGCCAATGGGGTGAGTGGCACTTTAAAAATTTTGTTCTTTTTCTGTGTGTGTATATACACACATGTGTGCACGAGCACACTACTGGCATGGAATCCAGGGCATTGCACATCAGATCTCACATTAATATCACATGCTGTAAGCATTGGTATGTATTTATCCTATAGTATGCTGATTTTAATTCTTTTGGCTAAATAACTAGGAGTGGAATATCTGGATTATAGGGTGAATTCATTTGTGCTCATTTGAGAAATCTCCATACTCATTTCCAAAGTGGTGGTACTAATATGCAGTCCACCAATAATGTATGTGTACCTTTCTTCCCACACAATTGCCAGCAATTATCATTAACTCGATGATTGCCATTCTGAGGTGAGATGAAATCTTAGTTTAATTTTTTTTTTGTACTGGGGATTAAACTTGGGGCACTTGACCACTGAGCCACATCCCCAACCCTATTTTGTATTTTATTTAGAGACAGGGTCTTACTGAGTTACTTAGCACTTTGCTTTTGCGGAGGCTGCTTTGAACTTGCGATCTTCCTGTCTCAGCCTCCCAAGTCACTGGTTTTACAGGCGTGTGCCACTGCAACCGGCAGCTCTTAGTGTAGTTTGATTTTGCTAAAAATGTTGAACATTTTTTTCCATATGTTTTTTGTTCATTTGTATTTCTTCTTTAGAAAATATCTAATTAAATCTTTTTGCCCATCTTTTAGTGGGTTTTTAAAAACATTTTATTTATTTATTGGTGTTAAGTGTTTTGAGGGTTTTTTTGTTTGTTTGTTTTGGGGTCTCAATGTTTTTATTTGAAACAAATAGTTGTACTAAGCAAGACCTGACTTTCCCCACTCCAAACTAAAATATCACAATAGCTGCAAAATTCATTAGGTAAGCACAACCTTCTCATCATGGTTGGGGTAACCTATTTATAAGCAGTTGTTCTTATGTAAAATATTACCCCAGACTACTAGCATCATACAAAATGGTCTTAATACTGTGTGGAGGCAGTATGTTCTGTAAGAATTGAAAGGTAGAAGAAGCACAAACACAACCCATTGTTTAAAAAAGCTAAATAATTCAAAGTAGTAATTTCAATCCTCACAGCCACCATGCTGTTTGGCTTCTTCCAAAAACTTGCCAAAACCCAAAAGATTTTCTTTCAACTGAACTGGTCTTCTCGACCTCTCTAAGGTTTGAACCAGAAAACTTGTCAGGAACAAATCTGTTGGTTTTTATTCTGGTTTCTAGGTCATTACCAAACATGTTTTTGTCCAGATTTTTACTGAGCCTATAAATACTCTGGGCCATATCTTTACCACCTCTCCAGGCTTGATCATAAACATTGTAAATTTCATTCTCTGCACCTAGGAATTCACTGTCCATACCCTTGGATTGGTTGAAAAGCTCTTGGTTATAATGCACTTCATTAGAATTCCAAGGACTAGGAACACCAAGAGTAATGACTTCACTGATATTTCTATTCTCATTTCTCTACAGCTTTGACCTCTTATTAGAAGCTGCCCTAAGAATATTCCAGTCATGCAGTTTCTCTTATTGTCTACCATGACCGATTTCATCTCTCTCATGTGCCTAACTATCCTCTTTTTCCACACAGGTCTTGATCCTGCTCTCTTCTCTCTGGTTTTTGGGGCCATTTTTAAAAAAGTTTTCCTTCTTAGTTCTCCTTTTTTTTTTTTTTTTTTTTTTTGAGCCATCTTTTGCTACTTGTGCTTCCATTTCCACAGCTTCATGAACCTTCCGATCAGCAACATTGAGCACTTTGGCCAGTTTGGCAAAATTCTCTGTTATGTTTACTGTCCGAAGTCCTCTTCCATCAGCAGCTAGACATTTATCAAATGAAATTTTATAATCCTTTGCATTTTTCCAGTTGGAAGTACAAGGAGGAATCTGCCACTCTTGTTGTTCCTTCACAGTAACCTTTTGACTAGGAGAATGCATGACAGGTGTAGGAAGAATGCAAGACAGGTGTAGGGAATTTTCTTATTAACCTTGAATCTTGAAGGTACCATTGGGTCATTCTGCATTTCTATCATTCAAATAACCATCTGTTTAGCTCCAGAGTTGAAAGCTACTCCCTGCTGAGATGGTGTGTAGGGGATGTCCTGAGCAGGAGCCAGTTTATCAGCTGCTGGTATTGGCATGGCTGCGGCAAACTTTTTGCTTACTGATTTCTCTAAGGCTACCCTTGACTTTTCTGTTATCTCTTTAATATCTTCTTCAGCAGGTCTTTTCTGGATCATCTATATTCATAATCTTCTTTAAACCAGGTCAGTGAATTTGCTATAAATGACCTTGTCTTTTGACTGTCATTTTTGAGCAATTGCATCATATTTAATTTTTCCTCAGGATCCACCTGAATGGCCAGGGCATTTGACATTTTTTCCCTTTGGTCTCATATCCAATGGATACTGCACCACATGGATCTCAGGAAAAAAACTTCCATTTCCAAAATTCTCTAACAACTGAGATATCCATTCTTTTCAGTACCTGTATCCAGGTGGGGCTTCTCTTTGGGAGGAGACCAGTGAGGTCTGCCATGACCTCCGAGATCTTGTTTTTTCTTTAGCCTCAAGCTGCTCTTGAGACAGCTGAGTAGGTGCCCATAAAAAAGCTGAGCTTTGGGCAGGCGGGAGTGCCCTCTAACCCACCCGATGCTTCAGGGAAGAACACAGGACACTGCGGCCAAGCCATGGCTCTTGGCCACAAAGACCCTCAGGGAAGACCCCAGCTTCAGTGAGGCCTAGTTCCCACAGCGGGCAGCCGGAAGATGTAGCCATGATCTCAGCCCACGTTGTTTGGAGTTTCAGGCCAGTTTACCGCCTGGGGTGTGTGGACAAAGAAAAAGAAAAATGTGGTTATTCAAAGACCCTCCCCCATATGTAGGACCCAAATCCTTTTCAGTTTTTATATACTCTGGATATTAACCCCCTGTCAGAAGAGTGACTGGCAAAGATTTTCTCCCATTCTGTACACTCTTTCTTTACACTCTTAATGAATTCCTTTGCTGAGCCATGGTGTAGTCGGCTGCTGGAATCTCATGTTTTCTTCGCTGAAGCATCCGGTGGGTTAGAGGGCACTCCCTTTGCTGTGCAGAAGCTTTTAAATTCAATGACATTGCACATTGATACTTGTTTTTATCTCTTGAGCTTTAGGAGTCTTATTAAGGATATTGAACCAATATTGCATCCTTTGAATGAATCTAACTTAATCATGGTGTACAATCTTCTTAATGTGTTTTTGAACATGGTTTGCTAATGTTTTACTAGTATTTTTGCAATCAGGGATCTTGGTGTGTA